TGTCTGGTTGTGGTATGAATAAATAATAATAAAACAAATCGCCAGCTGCACGCCATAACGGCGCTTCGCTGCCACGTGATCACCACCAGTCGCGCGTGGGCTGAATATACCGCGAGGACGCCCGTCCCTACGCGGATTCGAACCGATAACCTTATGGTTGCAAACCAGACGCGCATACCACTCGGCCACCGAGCGCGCGATGTTGGTATTCACTGGAATGACCTAACATGTTAGACAAAACCAAAATGCGTCAGCTATTTTGTTTGCCTGCCTCACTTTTCGGATGAACTTTGCTATGCATTTGATGGAAAGATCTAATGAGGTTATAATAGGTTGCCTACAGCTTAAGGACGTTGTCCCACTTCTCTGAATAGCGACGCGCCGCTACGTCATATTTTGAATGCTGGATGTACTTTCCAGGTCGTTTGCACATTGCGAGTAGCACTGCAACTTTCAGGGTTGGCAATGAGGTAATGTTTAATATGGTTCATATGAGGGTCGTCTACACGCTAGTGCACATACCTGGTGAGACAGGTGGGTCGACAGTTCGATCGGTGTAGGAGACTTCCCTGAGGAACTTGAAGAACGTTGGATGCGCGCGAGGCTGAATTCGTATGATGAACACACTGTGAATCACAAATTGTTCTGTAGCTGTCTGGAAATCCACCGTTTATGATCCAATTCTGACTTCTTGGACGTCTTAAGGATTGCTTTATGGAGCACAGTAATACAGTTACCTTAGTAACAAAAGGGCGTTAAAGTTTTGTGCGTGTATTCGAGCCCGAAAGCTGTCAAAAATCTAGAAAGGCTCGGGCCGTGAACCGTTGGACCTACTTTCGCGCAACATGGCTCGGAGCATAGAGCTAGTAAGTGCGACGCGAATGAGTGTAAGTTGTAAGTGCGGTCACAAGGTTAAGAGGAGATACTACGCGACAACGACCAGTGCAACATCGACGCGGCTGCAAGGCGGCTTGAATTTTTGCAAGTATCTTTCCGGGCATTCGGAGAGATATCTGGAGTGGAAGCTACTATCAGGAGCTTTCGTTTTCTGGAAGTAAAACACAACATGCTAACAAGTGCCGCTCTTTCTGTCTGATTTTTATTTGGTTCTTACTATTATTTAGCCGTTCATACAAACTAGCTCTTGTACTAGTCCGAGAAGACTTTGAACGCTAAGCCAGTCACAGTTTTACATGTTCTTAAAATGCACTTACCTGCACTTAGTATTTTTAAATAGTTACTGCCTTTTTGCCGTTTGGTTTTTATTACTATAAGGAGATTTATGGCAGACAAAAGTCAATACTTCAACGGTTTTACCGAAGGTGACCCATGCGAGACAATGTTGATACTTGATACACAACATTTGATTTAAAGTAAACGCACCAAAATTGATAGTTGCACTATCATGATGCAGTTAGTTCGATGATCCCAGTAACATGTTGTTAAGGCTCACTTACATTGCCACTGTCGTTTCCTTCTCCATATGTCTTTCTATCGCATTCCTGGCATTGTCAATCACACTCTCACTTCCGCAATTTCTTCACCATTTACTCCATTTGCGCCAGTATTTTACTAAGTCTTGTATGAATAGTAAGCTTCTGTTTTAGGTTGAGGTACAGTGTTAATAATAATGAAGAAATAAGTTATCAGCTGTACGCCGTAACGGCACTTCGCTGCCGAGCGACCATCACCAGTCGCGCGCGGGCTGTGTATACCGCGAGGACGCCCATACCTACGCAAATTCGAATCGGTGACCTTATGGTTGCAAACCAAACGTGCAGACCACTCGGCCACCGGCCGACCAGGTACAATGTTACCATGGAACTTCTGACATGATCCACACAGGATTTTTTCTAATGGTATCATACCTCGGTTCATGATGAGCATGAAATTTGATTCATTGCTGTTAACTTACACATCAGTACTTTTCAACTAATATACCGATTAAGTTAGCGGTAATGCTTTATTTTTTATATGGCATCGTTTACTACAGTATTTAGCAAACGATCTAACACAAGTTTTTCTCAGAACTCAGTAGGCTTAAGCAGAAACAATAGCGGACCCTCAACAGACCTCTGACTTCTAGTAATTCCCCAACTAGTTAAAAGCTGCAGCGGATATCTGGAGTGGTTGTTCTTAAACGAGATTGTATTATACTTGTGTTAATGTACCAATTTCGTTATTGAAATTTTGAATTTGCTATTACAGTTCCCATGTGCGCACCCTGTGCGTTATTAATACTGCCTTCACCTTAATCCAAGCCTATTACAATTCCGGATAGTTCGAACTAGGTCAATTTTGCCTTAGAGTACTTTTGCCATACCATAATTAGCATCACGGAAAGACATCTACCCACGGACCTGTGAAATCCAGGAAATCTAAAGATTCATTCCAGTTGTCGCGATATCAAGGATGTCGTAGAACGTTATGAGTTCTGTTGCAGTACGAGAGAATCTTTATAGCATAAGAAAAAATCTGCCCAGTTGCTTACTGCTACTGAACCGGCAGCTTACAGCCTGATCAACAATTCGTCTTTTCCTGACCCACTGATTGCCTTACAACGTGATGCGCTAAAAGCACACTGCTTAAGTACGTTCAGCCAGCAAATTTGGCCGCAGCAGAAAGGGTAAATTTCCACACCCATGGATGTAAAGATGATCAATATACCAGCTTTTACCCTCCAACTACAAACGTAAGCTGTAGGCTGCAGTTTTATTGACCAGTTGCAGACGCAACGGCATGACCGTTTGATTTCTGGAATTAGCTTGCTAAACTTGTAGCAAAAGTAACTTTGCTTGAGTCTGCGTTTCACATAATTAGAACGCTTTGTGAACATTGCCAAGCTATGAAGGCAGAAGTGATGGAATAACCTCCACTGTTATACAAGAGCAGCAGCAAACTGAAGCCTACTTTGGAGAAACCGTGGCATTTTAAAACTATACCTACTTACAAGGAGGGTAATAAAGGACGCTATCTTGCCGGTCAAAGAGTTTGGAACAAGTCTATGGCTTGTGGTAATAGATAATCTCAACTGACGTGCAAGTTCCTATAACTATAATTGTCATACATTTGGTAAGATAGTTTGCAATGAGCTGAAGATTACTCTGTTTGTCTGGATACGGTGCGTGAAATATTACAAAAAGTGTTTCATTCGGTACCCAGGCCCAAGCTCCCAAGGATGCTGACATCCGAACCAGGACACTCGGGCTGTTGAAGTGGGACCCGGAAGGCACATTGCGAACTGTCACTGCAGTGGCCAAGAGGATAACCAACTTAATATACATTTAGCTATGGTCGAGGACCCGAAGACACATTCCATTGATTTCGTAGTTCAGCAGATTTTCGGGAAAAAATTTCTCGCCAATGATCCTAAGAAACTCTCTACTGGTTGGCTTCCACCAGCGTATGTCCTTTTTACTTTTTCCCTACATGCCATAACCCACTGCTTTTACCGACTGGTAATCATGAGCAACGCTTTAGGGGATTGTCGCAGTCAACAATGATTCAAAAGCAAACCCTGGACGTTTCACTCTGGGACGAAGACCGTTATGATGCTGAACGATGGGCGCCCAGGGGGAGATGCCACTTCCAAGCGCACCGTTTGGCTACAGCCGAGATATAGGTCCTGTTGGCATTTATATGGACTACAAACATTTTTAATTTCGACAAGCTCGTTCCCACAGCTCGCCGTGATTCACTCCGTACTACAAGCGATAAAAAGGTATCAAGCGACCCTGCGCACTCTGATATGCAACGTGCCTACATTTGACACAAAAGCTTAAACTTTGCTCGACAAAGCTTGCCATGCAAACCATGATTTACCGATAATTTTTGACATCGGAGGTTCTTTTTTCAGTCTTATAGGTGGAGCAGTACGGCGCCACGAAAGTTAGGTCATATTTCACATGCAATTTCATTGCTGATCCGTTGAAAATTATGCTTCTTTGTTTTCATTATCCTTACATTACGACTCTGCCGACCTACTTCCACGTCATCACTTATCTGCTCTGTAACTTATCGTGCTAATTTTCTCTACTGTCTTGCTCCGTCCATCCACGTCTTTTGTAGCCTAACAAACAAAATCCACTGTATCCTCCTTCATTTAACCTTCTACTATCCGCGCTCCAATTGGTGATTCTTCTTGGACTAGTATTAACTAGTCCCAGAGGCTGATACACTAACGAGTATTGCATCGCTAGGCTAAGTTTTTTAATGGCTCACTGCCCAGAGTACATCACTTTTAAAGCTCTAAAAACCGGCCTTACCTAACTACTGTTCACTGACGCAGTGCACCGTTATCGAGTTTATCCATTCATAGTGTATGCTATACAACAAAGTGACTTTAAAGTATGTTATCGAGGTACACGTATAAGCTTTGGAATGGCTAGTTGAGGAGTGAAAGTTACATTTCTGGCTAAGGCCGTTAATGGCCTTATACGCCAACTTTGGCGTATACATGAGACCCAGAACACCTTCACATCCCTTTCTGGTACTGATGGATGGCCAACTGTCCCAGGAAAACATCGTTTCGGTTATTTAAAAAGGTTTGAATAATAAATAAATTAGTCCAGTATACCTAAATATCACAGTATTTAGTACGTAGCATTTACTGTATTATAAAATGCATAGTTAAGATATACAGTCTTTACGCATAACCCGTTGCTTTTAGTTAAATTAACCTTCAATCAATATGAGCGAAAAATACGTTGCCGTTGAATGATCCTTTTTTGTGACCTCTGGCCTCGCCATTTAACGAAGACAAACGGTTACTGTTGCGCTATCTCATTGTTCTGCAGTATGACTATATATGAATGTATTGCTGCTAAATGTAGGCAGAATTTGTGACTTTAAACTAATATTCACTTAAAAATTAGGTTGCGCTGCAGGTCTAACATGGAAAGTTGTTATAGATGTTAATGACTAATAAAATAAGGTTGTGCTATGGTAATATGTTATCAGGGAGCATGTGGTATGCCTGTTTAATAAGTATAGAACTGTACCTGAGAATCAAGCATTCTTCCGTGTTGAAAGAGCGCGAAGCAATTCCATGGTGCATCAATGATTTTGGAGCAGAATAAAACATACCGGTGTGGTTTGTTGTATAAGCACCAATGCAACAACAATCATTTGTATTACGTGATATCACTATAATTACTGTGTAACAGCTTTTGGTCTACATTGTCATCCATCCAAATGCATTCGGTGCTGGCTCTTATGGTTCCCCGGTTTAGCAGGGAAATTAGTCAAAGTAAGTAAGCTTCCACGAACGACACAGGCTTTCGCCTAACAAGCATCCTATTTCTTGCACTGGCAATCATTGGAATAGGAATTGGAACCTTTGAAGGTGGAGAGCAGAAGGAAAAACCCTTCGTCCGCTCCATCGCCTCCACTTTGTCACAGGGATCAAGGTGCACAGTGCAAGCCGGTACCAACGAAACCGCTGCAAGGACACAAGAAACAGCTAGGCCCAGGTGTGCTCAGTAGGTTAGAACCCAATCGATGTTTAAAACATTCCCCCGACTGCGCAACAAAAACATACACATGTAGATTGTTCCACTCGTTCACTACTCTGGTAGACGGAGTGATGTCACAAAGCACCCGAAGCCTCCTCTGTTTAAACAACGTCCAATGGTGACACCGAGTAGAACTAAAAGCATTGAGTAGAAAGAAATCGTGAATTTCAGCTTCAAGTTCCACTCTAACGATACGTCTTGTGAAAATTGAATCCCTGAGAACTCGTCGATAAGCTAGTGAGAGCAAGATCGGGCGCTAAAGACGGAATGAGTAACGCAGGGTTCGTAAGTCCCGAATGAATGTAAGGCTATTACGCTGAACCTGCTCCACCAGGTTACATTCAAACGTGGAAAGAGTATAGACAGCGGGCGGTCCATACTTAGGCTTCGGAGGTACATTAGCAGTGAACACGAGCCTGAACTGCTTCGGAGTCAAGCGGGAGAAGAATTGTGGCATAACAAAAGACATCCTGTTGGAAAAGTCGACTTTTCTCAAGGTATCTTCAGTCGATTTTATGCCTGGCATCACAACGACACCAGCGTCCCTCTCGCGAATAGAGCTTGACAGCAAAAATAAACCGATGGGAAAAATTCCAAATTGTTCGGAGGTACCAGTCTTAAGCACAGAGCAGTTAGTGTGGTTTCTGAGTAAGTAGCACCCGCTCGACCAATCGTGCGGCAATTAGAGCCTTGTTTCTACAAACAAGTTCCACAGTTCATCAGCTGCATCCACCCAAAAACTCCCATCCATGCATTAAATCTTCTACGTAAATCAAGTAATCTAGCCGTAGTATAGACACCAGCTGCCGTCTCCGACTAAGACACGACGCATGTCTCCTAGCTGTCATTTACCGCCCTCAACGTCCACTCCGTAAATGGATTCTCGCTTAATACCTCGCCTGAACATAGTAACACACTATGTACAGCCACATTCGCATCTAAGGGGACTTCAATTTACACGATCTGGAGGTATCAGCATCATCCAGCGAACAATTCAAAGCAGACCTGCGTCAAATGCTCGCTAATATTCCCTTGTACAACCATGTCACCACGCCCACTAGATGCAGAATAACAAATAAACCTTCCATAACGGACCTTGTGCTCACGAATGAAGAGCCCATTGTTTACAAGTTATTGGCGCATAGTCTATTAGGTCTCAGTGACCACGTAGTAATAACGTTCAACTACGTGCGTTATGCAGAGTACTTAGCTGAACACTCGGAATTAACTCCTACCATCACAAGCTACTACGTACTGAAAGAACTCGTCGACGCAGCTGCTTGAAAATCCTCAAACAACATTCACCTTGACAACGCTTGGACGGGGTGCGTCCATGGACTCAGAAAGGTCGTCAACAAAGCATCAGAGACCAAACCCTTCGCTTCGCAAAAATACCTTCAATTCTAAGGGGTAGGACTCAAAAACGACTGGCAATCAGGGATGCAGCCTGGCATGCCTACAAGATTAACCACGTCTCAGCGACTTGTGGCAATTTCCTGACCCAGCGCAACCATTACACTGCACTTGTCCGTGAGGATAAAGCAACTGATCAACAGTGACTATCCAAAACGTTCGTGGCAAACAACAAACTGCTATTTTGGCATGTCAATAAGCGTTGTAATTGAAGCAGGATCTCTCAACTTTTCACGACAAGCGATAGAGTACAAAGCACCGAAGCAGCAGCTAGTGTCCTGCGGCTACAGTGCTTCCTAAATTTTGAGCTCGCAGCCTATACCTGTTCCATATTATCATGTACATTACCGACTCACCTGCTTACACCTGTAAGTTTCAGCTCATCGATTGTTCTAAGGAAGTTACGCTCACGGCGCGATCATAGTTCTGCGGAAGCAGACAACCTCCACCCAAAAGCACTGAAGTCTGTGGCCAACAAGTTACTTGAACCACTGTCACATTTTTTCCCACGATGATGTGATGAATAGCAAGTCCCCACTGTGTGGAAGCTTGGCATTATCACCCTAATATTTAGAGGCGGTAGCTGTTTGGAGCCTGCAAACTACCGCCCAGTGATTCTCCGCCTTGTGCTCACGAAGGTGATAGAAACGGTCCTAACTGAGGCTCTAATGAACTACCTGGAAAAATGCAACGTCTTGGGACCTGAGCAGCATGACCTCCGTTAACACCGGTCATGTATAACCAACCTGCTGGTTGCACGAAGTAGCTGGACGGAAGTGGCTGATGATGACGTCGGAGTTGATAGCATCTATCTGGACTTCTCCAAAGCTTTCGTTTGCCAGGATCACCGCACCATACTTCAATGGCTACAGAGCTACGGCATCGGAGATCCTGTACTTTGTTGGATTGGCAAAGTTCTTCATCAACGGAAGCTTCAAGTACTCGTTAGGGATCACTCTCTATCCCGATTGATATGGAATATGGTGTCCCAAGAGGCTCAGTGCTGGGACCGCACTTATTTCCGGTGTTATCAACGACCTGGCAAGAGTTAGCTCAAATTTCCTGCTTTTCGTCAATGACGGTAGGATATGGTGGGCGAGTAATAACTATGCAAATCACGATCCACTGCAACCTAACCCGGATTGCGTTTCTAAATTGTCAAAGAGGAACCGGCTTCAGTTGAACGTGGCTAAGTTCAAGGTGGTATGGCTGCTTCACCAACCGGAGAGCGCTCACCAGCTTGGAGACCACAACTTGCAGAAGGTCTTTCAGCGAGTGACTTGGGTATATTGGTACAGGTAAAGCACGCGTGTTCAAAGCAACTGGAGGAGGCGAGGAACACGGTCAATCAACACTTCAGCCTGCTTCGCAGGGTCTTCGTTCCGTTTAAACCCTCAATCTTTCCCCAAATGCTTAACGCTATCCAGGCGTGGCAGCGGCGGCAAAAGCATGACCTTGTTGGTCTCGAGACTCCTCAAAGTAGGGCAACCAAGAACGTCAGAGGCGTCTTTCTTCTGCCCTATCAGCTTACAGTGCAATCACTAAGAACGTACAGCAGTCTATATCGACTTTAGCGGGGGACCTCATAATGCTTTACCAGATTCTAAAGAACCCAAACCACCAATGCCTTCCGCTGCTTCACTGGAACTACAACACTAACCTGTGAAGTCAGTTGCTGCTGCAGGCAATACAGTACAGTCGGCTTGCAAGTCATATGAATTTCCTTTCCCTTCGCGTGTGCCAGTCTTGAAGCGCCCGCCCTAATTATCCCGTTGCGGCCCCCAATGTGGCGATAGGTAGAAAACGGGTTGACGATGTATTGTCTCATTTACATTTCATCTTATGAATTGTTAGCCAGGGGCTACAAAAGTCAATCAAATGGTGTCTTGCCAAACTCCCAACCAATGGACGTATGAATTTTTACGTTTAATATGCGAACATCCCCGTTGGTTTACAGGCGTCTATGGTGAGTTCACTAAAACGTTTTTCAAGTTATAATGCAGTCCACTTTCCGCCATAATTTCATCTCCACGGGACTTGTTAAGCAATGCTATTTCACCCGTCATAAACCATTGTTCCATTTTCCTATTAATAAAGGCTTCAAATCTTAGGGCCAAGAACACAGCCTTGCGGAATACCGCTGGTCATATTTACACAGCAGGAGACTTATTTACTTCACACAGAATTGCGGCCATGTTTGAAGTCCGTTAGCTAAAATATGCCTATTTCTCTCATGGTGCCAACTGTGTGGTTCGGGTGTAACTCGCTCCAGCATATTATTCGACGGCAGTGTTTCAGCTCATGGTGGATTTTCTCCACAAATACTCCTTTATAAACACTATGGCGTGGCAAAGTTGAGTCGTCACAAACTTAGTTCACTGCTCCGTGGATATCTGGATAATGTTATCCAATCCATTTACACCAATAGTCTATGCTTACGTAGCCGACGCTCTCCTACAGTCACAAATACAAAGGCATACCTACAAACACTTTACAAATCTGCACTAATGAATCGTTGCACACACCACCATGCTCACATTCACTCTTTTGACAAGCATGTTGTATACGTGTAAATTTTTGTTCACACTTTGTTATCATAACATGCTCACGCTTGTAAAGGCGTGCCTCGCATTACTGAGAATAAACAGTTTAGTATTTTCTTTGAAACTCCAATGCTGCGAAGTTTGCTAAGCAAAGTTGCCTGTGGAGCCTTGTCAAAAGCTTCGATGAAATCCGCAAATACGCCATCTAGCCGCTTACCAGCATCCATAAATTCAGCTCATGTTTTCTGAGCTACCAGAAGATTGGTGACACATTAACGTGAACGACGGAACACATGCCGTGCAGCTGAAATGACATAGAGGTTCCGAATATACTGCGTGGGAGCTCACTTGAGAATCCTATCCATAATCATGCAAATAACAGACGTTAGACAGATGGGCCACTAATTTTTAGGATCTTGTTGATTTCCTTTTTTTGCATATGGTCTTGACTATGCCCGCCTTCCAGGCAAGCGGCAGACGTCTAGCCTCAAGCGAGCTTTGAAATACGTAACAGTTAGAAATTGCAATATATTCGGCCACACCCTTGAAGAACAGAGGATGCAATTCATCAAGCCAGTGAAAGAGGTAGGAT